AACTAGCAAATATACAGGAAATATATATAGTGAAAAAGGGGGGGACAACAAGCATCAAGCAGCATGTAATTCAATCATGCACTAATACAAAATGACCTATCCAGATGTAATATGAAGGTTTATACAATCGTCATGTCCATTCGAAAAAGATGAATGTGCAGCAATGTACAAAGCAAGCATGCTAGTTATCAAGACGTTTGAGACCTCGTACAAAGTTGGTGTCGATAAATAGTTCGAGAGGTAAACCGTTCCAGTCGCTAATAGCGCGAGGGAAAAAGCTGAACAAAAAGAGAAATAAAGGCGACGCAGTGATTATTTTCATTCCTTTTCATTTTTGGTTGAAACAACCGTCAAAAAATGCAAAGACGTGAAGAAAAAAAAATCATTTGCGTATTTACAAATATTACCGTCTTCGTCTGTCGATTTTTGAATGATTTTGTTGGGAACGCGACTGAACAGCACACGACAAAACAGCATGCGACAAAACAGCACGGTCAAAATAGCACGCGTCAAAACAGGACGCGACAAAACAGCACGGTGTCAAAACGGCACAGCGACAGGAGAGCACGTGCCAAAACAGCATGGCGTCAAAACAGCACAACGACAAAACAGCACGAATGTAAAAAGGCTGTAATAGGTGGCGTTTTATGAAAACAAAACAGAACGTCAAGAAAAAAGGGTTGGACATTGCATGGCTTTGTTTAACAGCTGGTGCAGAAACAATAAAAAAAAAAGAAATTTACGCTGGCGGCGGCGGGATCGCACTCAAGTCAGTGTCCCGAGTGCTGCTGCTGTGCGATTGCTAAAAACAAATAAAGTTAGCAGTAGTTACTACTACTTAACTACACTAAACTCTGAAGAGATTGGGTAATTAGAGGGATACCTTCGCGTCGATCTTGGCTGCGTTGTCTGGTCTTTTTTTTGAAGTATCAGGGAAAGAAGAAAAGTTATTGGGAAAAAGATATCCATAAGTACAATTTATGAGCTGCCTGGTTTGTGGCGGTCCGGTGAGGTTCCGCAGTACTCGTCGTTTCGTTATTACCACCTAAGCTTAGAACGTCCCCCACCCCCCCCCCCCCCCCCCCCAAAAAAAAAGAAAAGAAGCGGGAGATGCGTTAATTACAGATGCATTGATAGAACCGGTAAGATAAGGTGACTTTAATGTCGAGCGTATTCAAGCTCTACCATGGGCACCGATTCTGCGGGGTTCATTTGCCGAGAATAAAATCTCCTGGAAACACGCGGCTGGAGCTTCCAGTCGAGAAGTTGTACGTTTTGGGTTAAATTCACAGATTATTGCCTACGAAGGCCTTGATCGAGTGGAAACCGGTGAAGCAGTAACATGCCGCAGCCTCAATGCTGTGGCCTTACACTGCAGCATGGGCTGAACACACCGTTGCCGCACACGCTTTCTGTTTTTTTTTTTTTCTTTTAACAACTAACGACAGCACATTGCCGTGCCATTGAATTATTTATTGTAGACGATATCACTAGTAAACTTGCGCGTCAAAATGAGCAAAACTGCTCGAAAAAATTGCGGTGGCTCAGCTCGTCTATGCCAGGATATACGTAGGGTGAGCTTGTGCGTAGAAAATGAGAGACGCTATCAAGAGGCGCCGGTGCAGCGTCTGACTTGGCTACTGCGCAACGGAGGCGCACAGCTAAGCACGCGGCGGCGCCAGTACGTCTGCCGCGGCTATGACGTCACTCTGGAATGCGCAGACCGGCGAGGCGGGCGCGGCGGCGGCGGCTCCGGCGCGCCAGCTGTGCGCCGTGTGACGTTACTGCTCTTCGCGCATGCGCAGCACGGAGCGCGGCTCAATATGCGAGCCACGCGAAACTGCTCAACCTCGGCCAGTGTAGCCCAAGCTACAAAATAGCCAAAATACGCACCAGCAGGGGCTTTGGTACTGCGCCATGCGCACATAGAATATACTCCCCACTCCGAACTTGCTTCCAAAAGAACAGATTCGGAAAAGTGGCCGTCGACGAGTTCGTTTTTGACAAATTGGCCTAGAACCTCGATTCCTTTACAGTGCCTTATTTGAGACGTGCATTTTTTTAACTTCAAACGCTATATTTAGGGTTTAGCGTTTTAGGGTTAAACCGAACATAACCGGTAAAAGTACGCCGAATCCATTTTTCCAAATTCGGTCTAACTGAAAAAGTTCAGTATATTCGAGGGCGTTTGGAGTGGTGTGTGTGGTTGGGGGGGGGGGGGGGGGGGGAGAGAGAATGGGACTCATAACTAGGGTTTCGTGTTTTCGGATAAATTTGAAAAACACCCGCCGGTAAAAGTTTCGTCTATGCGGATTTATCTGATAAACTCTGAATTTCGATGCGCCAATCCCCCCCCCCCCCTCCGCCCCTTCCCCCCCCCCCCCCACACACACACAAATATATTTTACAATTGATGGTTTAATCAGCGCGTAGAGTAAATGGTCCTGAGAAAATGCCACCACACATATCTTTCTAATTTCGGTCAGGACAACAGGTCATTGTACTGGCGGGTGAAAACAAGAGTCACTGTTTATGTTTCCGGTTTGGGTCATACTATTTGTCCGTGAGAGGAAGGAGAGGTTGTGTTTTTGTAACCGTGAAAGCTCTGGACCATAGAAATTACATAAAGTGGAAAAGAGGACAGTTCTCTATTTCATCCTTTTCCACTTTACCTCTTGTGGCCGCGCAGTAGGTTGATGGAATAGCATGGAATGAATACACGCTTCCCAGCGACTACCTCCAGTGGGTTATCGATTTTAAGGTATCGACCTTTATCGAAATAACACTTTTGTGCCAGTTTTGTTCTAGGACAAATTAGTATTGCCAGTAGTAATGGCACCAACGCCAAATCCAACTGAAGAAAATATTAATTGATACAATCGCGTTTTTTGTTGTTGTTGTTGTTGTTTGTTTCTTTTTGTCCGGCATACGTTTACATTTGAATATTATTTGTTTATTTTTAATAAGGAACACTGCGAAATTAAGCTCTGAAATTCGGAGAATTCGGAATCAAACAAAAAAAAACTCCGATAAACTCCGCCGGCAAAAAATAAACTCAGACAAACAACCTTCGGACTTGACGAAAACTAATCTCCAAATACACTGAACCCTACTCATTACTAACCATATGACCACTTACTTTCGGAGTTTTCATCTTGTCTGCGAGATCGGTTCAACTTTCAACAAAAGCTCCGGGGGCGCAGGGGTCTTCAGGACGAAATCTGGGTTTTTCACCTGATAGGGGTTTGTGCCGAATTCTTTGTTAAAAGAAGAGAGTTTAATCGTGAAATCAAACAACGGAAATCAAGAGCGTCCGTAAATACCGCGCATTGTTTAACACCCCTGGCCTCCGTCCTAAATACGAGTGTTTTATTGTCATTTTTGCCGTCGGCGCAAATTTATCACCTCTTGCAGCCATAAAAAGGGGGGAAAACGCACCGAGTACAATGCTTGCTAATTTCTCCATTTTGATATTTGCCTCTCCGACCGAAGTGGTACTGAAGCTCATGCTCGTCTTGTGTACAAATACGAGCACACGACGATAACGTCTGATCACGATAGGACCCCTGTGAGTCTGTCAGAACAGGTCGCGTCGGCTGTCAAAGACGGCAACAATTAAGAAAACCAGTACCTGGTACTCGATATACATTTTACACAAACACTTTTAACTATTGCATTTTCGTTAGTACACTGGTTTTCGTCAATAAACCTAATATAACTGAGAAGTTTAGGAGTCTACAAATATTCACCGCAATAGAACGAAAACTTTTGTTCGGAATAAAAACTGAAAAAAAGTGCGCGGATTTTCAAATCATACAAACCGAAAACGCCGAACCCTAGCTATATTGTCAATGTCATGTTTTACGCTGTACTGTTTTGTTGCTGCGCTGTTTTGACGTCGTGCTGTTTTGACGCCATGCTGTTTTGGCACGTGCTCTTCTGTCGTTGTGCCGTTTTGACGCTGGGCTATTTTGTCGCGTGCTATTTTGACGCGTGCTGTTTGGTCGCCGTGCTGTTTTGACACTGTGCTGTTTTGACGCGTGCTGTTTTGACTGTGCTGTTTTCTCGCGTGCTGTTATGTCGTGTGCTGTTCTGTCAATTGCGTTAGAAAAACAACCGAACACCACCACATATCAAGTAAATTGAAGTAAATCATGCGCGCAACACAAAATGCGAAAACAGGATGTCAAGGGATGCAAAACCGCACTTACAGCGCACGATGCCTAACCGACGGCCGATCTCCTTCGAGGCGTTCTCCCGTTTCAGGTTGTCTTTGTCGTCGCGCCGAAGCTTCCCGTACAACCAAGGGTAGTTCTGAGAGAGCTCGATCAACTGAGAGCACTTGCTTTGGTCATGAAAGACGGCAGCTTCTGCGGCCTTCTGCGCAGCTTCTTCTGGCCACTGCGCGACGGCAGCAGCCTTCTTTTCGCTCACCTTACCCGCGCCGGAAACAGGGGGAAAGTTCATAGATGCAGCTGTCGCGCGCAAAATTAACGACAGCAGACGAGGGGTAACTTTTAAGGCTGCTCTAGCGCGGGCCGACAGAGCTCGCCGAACGCTTCAGCCGGGAGAGGTCAGGTTTGGGTCAAGACGCAATCTCCGGCTGTCGCGAGGAACGAACAACCGCCCGAGTACGCCTGGGCGGCTCTTTTTATATCCTTCCAAGGCCAGAAGTTTTTGGGGAAGACGCGTCCCGCTTTCCCTCGTGAGAGAGGGAGAGAGCGCGCGCGTAGATTAGATAACCTTCTGGCTCCATCTGTCGGCCCGTCAGTCAACCATTTATTTTAGTTTCGTTTTCAAAGTTACAAATATCCCCCGTCAAAAAGGGCTGAGTGCCCTCACTCAGACATACGGAACAAAACCCGTGAAGAGAAATCAGTGTTACACAAACGTTTGTCCACTGTGAACGAGACATCAAACTATCTGTGAGAAAAATCAGTAACACACAAAATCAGTCCGTTGCAACAGTTGATCCAGAAAAGGAAAGTCTGTGAGAAAAACTAGTAATACAAAAAGTCGCTCCACTGCAATCGGGTGGAAGCTCGGCGGTTTCGTTCGTTTGTCTCCTGATTAGAGCCTGTCTGTAGCTCACGAGCTGACCTAAGCACTGGCACTGACACAGGTTCCAGCACTGATGCCGGCACTGGCACCGCTACGGTGTCGCTCACTTGGGAACGCCGAGGTTCCCCACAGGCTTGGTCCTGGGTGAGGGTGTCTTGAGCATCGTGGAATTCCTCGGGAATGTCACGGTGGTCCCCTGTCGGACCGTCGGGTGTGTCTGTTTCCGTGGAGTCGTCGCTGCTAACTCGTTCGCTGTTCTCGTCACGCACCACGAAGGGCTTCATGCGATTCACATTCACCACGTCCGGCTTTCCTCTGCGATTCTCAACCTCCCAATCATTTTCGGCTGTCTGTCGGACCACCCTGAAGGGCCCGTGATAGGCATGTAGGAACTTCGTTGTCCTCCCTCGCTTTGAAGTAGGCATACGTATGTACACAAGGTCCCCGGGCTTGAAGCGCGCTGTGCGTCGGTGCTGGTCGTACCTCTCCTTGTTGTTCTTCTGGGCCCGTCGCTCACGCTCCGCGACGATCTGCTTCGCGCTTTCCCACTTTCTCATGACCTCTTCGTTCGACGGAGTCTTGAGGTGTCCAAGCTGCAGATGGAGCATGGCGTCGATGGGAAGTGTGGGCTCATGCCCGTAGAGAAGAAAGAACGGCGAATAACCGGTAGTGTCGTGCACCGAGGAGTTATACGCGAACGTTGCGTACGGTAGAAACTGATCCCAATCTTGATGACTGGAGGAGACGTATTTGCTGATCATATCAGCCAAGGTTCGATTGAATCTCTCGCAGAGTCCGTTCGTTTGGGGATGGTAAGCCGTGGTTCGGGCGTGGTTGGTGTCCAGAAGACGAAAGAGTTCCTCCATCATCTCGGAAACGAAGTGGCGACCCCTGTCGGTTAAAACGGTCTCCGGTGCTCCATGGCGAAGAACCACTGCTTGCATGAAGGCCTTGGCAGCGGAGGCAGCAGTTGCGTCAGGGGTGGCCACTGTCTCAACCCACTTCGTGTGATAGTCGATTATGACCACGACATATTTGTTTCCGTCTTGCGACGAAGTAAGGGGACCCAGAAAATCCATTCCCACTCGCTGGAACGGCCTCTGTGCTGGAGGTAAGGGCTGCAGTAGGCCTGCCGGCCTCAACGGGGGCGTTTTCCGCGTTTGGCAGTCTGGGCAAGACATCACGTACCTGGTGATATCAGCGAACATCCTTGGCCAAAAGTATCTTTGCCGAATTTTGTCTATCGTCCGCTTGATTCCCAGGTGGCCTGCCGTAACGTCATCATGACAAGAAACTAGAATTTCCTGCCGCAGTGTCCTAGGCACCGCCAGCGCCATCCTTTCTGCCTCGTACCCCTTAGCTCTGCGGAAGAGGATTCCATTGACAAGACTGAAGGCCCGCGCAGCCCGTTTGACTTTCCTTACGACGGGGTCTTGTGGTCTCTCTAGGTGTCCAACGATTGGTCCAAGGAACGGGTCGGCGCGTTGATTTTGGACGATGTTCCCTCCTTCCACCAAAAGAAGCGGTAGCTCTTCTTCCTCCTGGGGCGCAGGGTCGTAAGGGAGTCGGGACAGCGCATCGGCGTTGCCGTTCTTCTTTCCTGGTCGGTGTTTCAGAGCTATGTTGAATTCCTGTAGGAGCAGGCTCCATCGGATGAGGCGGCCGTTTGGGTTTTTGACCGTCATTAGCCAGGTGAGGCTAGACTGGTCCGTCACCACCGTGAACGGAACCCCGAATAGATACGGACGGAACTGTCTGGTAGCGTAGACGACCGCGAGGCACTCTTGCTCTGTTGTACTGTAATTTGCTTCGGCGGCATTGAGATGGCGACTGGCACAACCTACCGCATATTCCTGCGTGCCGTCCCTGTGGACCACCACCGCCCCGATTCCATACCCACACGCGTCTGTGTGAACCTCAATGGGAAGAGAGGGGTCAAAGAGTCTTAACACGGGCTCCCCGGTCAGGTGCTGTTTTAGCTCATCAAAAGCATTTTCGCACTCTCGATTCCAGGACCACTTGACGTCACACCTGGTAAGGTCGTTCAAGGGACGGGAGATTCGGGCAAAGTCTTTCACAAATCGCCGATAGTAGTTGCAAATTCCCAGGAAGCTGCGGACTTCTTTAACGTTTCGAGGACGTGGGAAGTTACTCACGGCACGGATGTTGTCCGGGTCCGGTCGTACGCTTTGGCCGTCAATCACGTGTCCCAGGTAGAGGACGCTGCTGGCGGCGACTTTGCATTTCTTGGGCTGAAGTCGCAGGCCCGCCTTGCTGAGCGCCTCGAAGATGCCCCTGAGGTCTTGCAGGTGGTCGTCTACAGTCCGAGAAAACACGATTATGTCGTCCAAGTAAGCCAAGCACACCTTCCATAGCTGGCTGGCAAGCACCTTATTAATCATGCGCTGGAAGGTTGCGGGTGCGTTGCACATACCGAACGGTAAGACGTTAAACTCATACAAGCCAGCCCCCGTGGTGAACGCCGTTTTCTCTTTGTCTTTCTCTCAAACAGGGATTTGCCAATACCCGGACGCCAAGTCCAATGTCGTGAAGAACCGTGACCCCTGAAGCATGTCCAAAATGTCATCCACACGCGGGATTGGGTGCACATCCCTCTTGGTTACCGCATTTACTTTCCGGTAGTCCACACAGAATCGCCAGGACCCGTCACGCTTGCGCACCAGGACAACTGGCGACGACCACGGGCTGGTCGACTCTCGAATCACGTCCCTTTGTAGCATGTCGCTGACTTGCTCGCGGACGACCTGTCGCTCGTATGTCGAGTTTCGGTACGGATTCTGGCGCACAGGTCTCGCGCTTTCCGTATCAATTTCATGCTCGACAAGATGAGTGCGACCCAGACACCCCTTTTCTGAGAACAGATGTGCGTACTCATTCAACAGTGAGTGGACTCGATTCCTCTCCGCGCAACCCAAATTAGCCGCCACATCAACTTCGGATATACTGCCGTCAGCATTTTGTGGAGGGGTCGTGGCAAGCTGTACGGCGAATAGGGACGTTGTGCGCCCCACCGCAGTTCCCCTGGTTATCGTTATGGGTGACGAAGACGGGTTGGCAACACGTGCATAATCAACATTGGCACTGACCTCAGTTAATGTTCTTGCAACGCTTGGCCGGGTCAGGGACGTCTCCGGGAGTGGCTCGATGAGAAACGCTCCTTGGCCGGTGATGGTAACCGGCAGCAGGACCTCGCTGCAGGCTGGTATAGTGGTCGTCTCCATGCAGTAGGCCCGATGTGCAGACGGTGGGGCGGCGACGAGCGGGCTTTCAAGGTTCAGCCGGAGTGCATGTCCCTGGAGTACGATGTTCTTCCCCGGGAAATCTATCAACATTTGTGCAGCCGCACAAAACGGAAGTCCGCACAGGATGTCGTATGGAAACTCCTCGAGCACAACAAACTCGGTGCGGACGTGCACTGGTCCTATCACGATCTCCAACACCATTTCACCACAGCTACTCAACAGCTCCCCACTCACACTTCTTAGCGTCGACTTGGTTGGCTGGGTCGCCTTTTTCAGGCGAGCTGCAAACTTTCCGGACACAATGTTTGCCGTGGCTCCGGTGTCCACGATCACCTCGACGTCTCCGCCGTCGATCGTCGCCGGTAGTGTGATGAGGTGTGATGCCGAGTATGCTGCACATATGGAGCCTCCTTGGTGGTTTAGGGGTGAGGCTTGTGGACCCCTACTTCTCAGTTTCCCTGCTGGGCTGAGAAACTGTTGAGTCGGGCAGTGGTGGAGTCGCGGTCGAAATTATCCCTGCTGTTCTCAGTCGGTCGAGGTGCGGTCTCAGGACACTGGCGCTGGATGTGGCCAGGTCGGTGGCACCTGAAGCAAACGACGTTACCGCTCTGGTTTCTTGAGAGACGCGGCGGGAAGCGCTGGCGTGCTCGTCCGAGTTGCTCTACGGCCATCGTGAGAGCACGGACACTGTCTTGAAGGGCGCCGAGGATGGCCGTAGTGTTCTCACTTATCTGCGGTGCCCCTGGTCCCTGGACGTGGAAGGCGTCAGAGGGGTTCGGGCGAAGTCCGGCGTCCGCCGCGGGTGTACTCGCCTGCGTTGTGGGCCGTGGACAGGAGAATGGGGAAGGCGCCGCAAACCCGGGAAGTTCGTGTGTTGGCATCGTCAACAGCGCTTGGCGTGCCATTGCACCGACGTGGGTGAGTCTTTGGAGATGTTGCAGGAAGTCGGCCGGGGTGCGCGGATTGGAGATTGCAACCCTCTCCATAATTTCCGGTCTCAGTCCACGCAGGAGACACCGAACGTTTTCTGTGTCAGCCATCGTCGGGCTTGCCCGTGCGCACAGCTGAAGGATGCTTGAAACGTAGTGCTGAGGTGTCTCGTTCAGCTGTTGGCGACGCTCTTGCAGTTGCATGAAGGCCCAGTCTCTCACGTGCTCTCCGGCGAAGTCCCGACGGAGGGCTTGCTGCCACTGCTCCCAGGTTGTCAGAGGGGCCTCAGCTGTCGCTTCTCGGAGAGCCGTGGAGAACCAGTGCCGAGCCTCGTCCTCCAGCGCAAAGACCAGGTTGTTTGCTTTTTGCGCCTCTGTACATGACAATGCTGTGGCGTAGCGTTCGTACAGCAGCATCCAATCTTCCAAGTCCTCGTCCGGTCTCCCCTTGAAATGCGGCGGGGGACCGTATGGCCGCATGAACCTCTCCACCGGTGGCTGCTGGTCCTCGGTGCTCATGTTGTCGGATACGAGCCTACTCCGTAGAGAGTAGTTACTCGCGAACGTCGCCTTCCTCCCTATCCTTTCAGCAGCGCTTGGCAAGTTCGAAGAGCCTCGCGAACCTTTGATGGATGTTCCGAGCTACTTGCTCATCCTCGTCCTGCCATTTCTTGTTCGGGTCGATGCGGCCTCCTTCTTCGCTTGACCGGGCGGATTGCTGTTTCTGCAGGCGTGCTCGGCGATCGCGACGTTGACGTCCTCGGGATCGGCGTGAGTCGTCTTGCATCTCGACGAGTACCCCGCACCTCCACCAGTTTGTCGCGCGCAAAATTAACGACAGCAGACGAGGGGTAACTTTTAAGGCTGCTCTAGCGCGGGCCGACAGAGCTCGCCGAACGCTTCAGCCGGGAGAGGTCAGGTTTGGGTCAAGACGCAATCTCCGGCTGTCGCGAGGAACGAACAACCGCCCGAGTACGCCTGGGCGGCTCTTTTTATATCCTTCCAAGGCCAGAAGTTTTTGGGGAAGACGCGTCCCGCTTTCCCTCGTGAGAGAGGGAGAGAGCGCGCGCGTAGATTAGATAACCTTCTGGCTCCATCTGTCGGCCCGTCAGTCAACCATTTATTTTAGTTTCGTTTTCAACGTTACACAGCCATACGGGCCATACTCGCAGGCAACTGCGAAGATAATCTGCTTCAGCTGCGCCAGACCGGCGGCCAGACCAGCCAGACAGTGAAGAAATGCGGAGCATGCCCTCCACCCATTGGCCGGGAGACAGGAGCGCCCTACTACGTCACAGCGCGCTTTCGTGCGCATTCAGACAGAAGTTGAAATCATCAAACCCTTATGCGCGCCCGGAAGGCGCAAGGAATCGGCTCGACGTCAAAAAATACGTCACATCCGCAAGCCGCACGGCCTACAGGCGCAAAAAGACGCGTAGGTTTGGATCGCTGTCTGAGTGTCGCGTCTGTTTTCCACGTG